CCTGGCTCAAATTATGGTTTGGATGGTGCACCTAATTTCTGGTGCAATTTTCTAGAGGTAACTTTGGCAATACACATAAAAAGGCTCACAAATGTAAACATTCTTTAATACAACAATTCCACTTTTAGGCATTTATCCTGTAGAAAGTATCTGAGATATTTGTAAAGGTATAAAAAAGATATTAGCCTGGCCAACATGGTGAAACCGCATCTCTACTAAAAGTACAAAAAAATTAGCTGGGCATGGTGGCACGCGCCTGTAGTCCCAGCTACTGGGAAGGCTGAGGCAGGCAATTGCTTGAACCCAGGAGGTGGAGGTTGTAGTGAGCCAAGATCGCGCCACTGCACTCCAGCCTGGTGCCTGATGATGGAGCAAAACTCTGTTCCCCCCCAAAAAATATTAGCCATAATGCTGGATATAATAGTAAAAATTGTGAAATACTCTTAATATTAAGCAATTTAGAATTGTGTTGGTAAATTAGGTACAGCCACAGAAGAGAGGATTAGCCAGTCATTAGAATAATTACCCTGTAGTAAACAAACAAAAAAAAAGAAAATGAAAAAGAAAAAGAAAAATTACCCTGTAGAAGAATATTTAAATACATAAAAGTATTATAAAGACAGTTTGAAGGGAAAAAAGCAGGTCATAAAACTGTAATAATGTTTCATCTGTGCTTGGTTTAAAAGAAAAAGAGAGAGGCTGAGTGCAGTGGCTCACACCTGTAATCCCAGCACTTTGGGAGGCTGCAGTGGGCAGATCACTTGAGGCCACAAGTTTGATACCAGCATGGCCAACAGAGTGAAACCCCGTCTCTACTACAATTACAAAAAATAGCCGAAGAAGGCTGAGTCATGAGATTCACTAGAACCCAGGAAGGGGAGGTTGCAGTGAGCCAAGATTGCACTCTGTCTCAAAAAACAAATTAAAAAACAAAAAAAGAAAAGAAAAGATAGAACCTTGGTACACACACACACACACACACACACACGAGAAAGAAAGTATATAAAGCAAATTTCTGATAGTGATTATCTCTGAGTCATGGGATTATGGATATTTTTTCTTTTCTTGTTTGTACTGTGTGCTATACCAATTTTTCTTGATGTGTATATAGTACCTTTGTAATTTTAAAAAGGACAATGTAAAGAAACAATCCGACTTTTGTCTCAGTGTCCTATTTCTTAAATATTCCTTAAACCAAGTTGGTATTTTCTTTATACCTGCAAGCAAAGCTTTTAAGCATATATTGATATTTCACATGGGTATCCAAGAGATTGATGACTTCCGGGCTGGCTTCATTCAGGCAGGTAGATCAGTCTCTTTGTGAATGCTTGTGTCTAACAAGCCTGACCTTTCTGGAAGTGGGCACTGATGTGATATGGTTTGAAAGGTGTGAGAATGTTCTTCTTGGCTCCTCAACGTTCTTCCCTCACAGCTCAGAGCTTATGGCTGATGTTCTACCACCTCAGGCTTATGGATTTTCACTCTAATAAAATGCAAATAACCCAGGAGAAGTACACGTTAAACTTTACCTATCACCTGAGTTGAATGAGTGTATCGTTTTCTGAGAATAGGTTTTAATGAGTAAGACATGGGAATTCAGAGGGGAGGTCAGAGAGAAGAAAATATGAATGAATATTCCTGGTGTCTGAGGAATAATTAATATTTATAATAGTACTATTTTTATTTATGATTTATGAGTCACTTAGGAGTATGTTATCACATTTAATCTCAATTAAATTGAATAGAATAGCTGTCACCAAGGCAAGTTTAGTAGACTAGAGATTTAGAAAAATACAGAAGAAAAAGTCTGCAGTCTATCATTTTTCTAGAGCTGTTCCTAAAAGCCACGATCCCACTCATTTAGATAAACTGCTTTACCGCCCCCCCCTTTTTTTTCTAGCAACTCCAAAGCATTGTGAAACTGTGTCCAAATAACTAGACCAGATGTGGATAATAAAGTTAGAGCCAGTCCAGGAAATAGATACTTCTTCTTAACCTATTATCAATGTATAATAAAAACACAGGACCAACACCTTCCAGGAATTTTTGTTCAAAAAGACAACAGCCAACTGAAGAAACACATGAAAGCCTCTAATCAAATACTTTAAACTATTTGTGAGCGTGGATCTTTTTATTAATTCATGGAGAATGGAAAAGAAAGGAAAATATCAGAAAATGGCAATGAAAGAATATGGCAGAAGAATGGAGATCATGTACAATCACTTCCTTTCCATAAAATATATAAATTAAGTAAAATTACAGTGTGATGGTTAAAAACACAGACTCTGGAGCCAACTTCTTGGGTTTGAATCCTGGCTTTCTCATCTACTAGCTGTAGGAATGTGTGCCTCAATTTCTCATCATTGTAATGGGTATAATAATGGTACCTACCTTTAGGGATTGCTATAAGGATTAAACTAGTTAAAATTTGTAACATTGCTAGGCACAAAGTAATTGCCTTAAAATGATGGGTAAACCCTCAGACATACTCATATATGACTAGAGGGAAATATATTAGAATGCTAACAGATATTAACTCCATGTGTTAGAGTATGGCTTTTTAAACATCAAAAAACTCAATACATACACTTTTATAGTAAAAGAAAAAGAAGTATAAATTAACATTAATTAGAGAAAAACAGGTACTTGCCAATTTAATATGTATTATTGTATAAATAGGAAGTTCTAATACTTAAACTTTCAGTTAACTAAGGCTATTTCTCTTTTAGTATTAATTATAAAAACATAATTACCAAAATGGTAAAACCAGTAAATAAAAGAAGTAGTAGAAGTCAAGTCAAGGACAAAAGGAGGATACGAAGCTGGGTGCAGTGGCTCATACCTGTAATCCCAACACTTCCAGAAGCCAAAGTGAGTGGAACACCTGAGGTGAGGAGTTTGAGACCATCCTGGTCAACATGGTGAAACCCTGTATCTACTAAAAAATACAAAAATTATCTGGGCATGGTGGTGCATGCCTGTAGTCCCAGCTACTTGGGAGGCTGAGGCAGGAGAATCTTTTGAATCCAGAAGGCGGAGGTTGAAGTGAGCCGAGATCATGCTACTGCACTCCTACCTGGGGAAAAGAGTAAGACTCCCTCCCCCACCCCCACCTTCAAAAAAGGAGGATACAAATAGTGAGGGAAAGGAAATGCCCATAGGCTGAGGTTTCAACTTGGAGGCAGAGTATTTATTTATTTATTTATTTTTGATACATTTTATATATATATATATATACATATGTGTATATATATATCTATATATATATGTGTGTGTGTGTGTGTGTGTGTGTATTTTTTTTTTGAGATGGAGTTTCACTCTTATTACCCAGGCTGGAATGCAATGGAACAATCTCGGCTCACTGCAATTTCCGCTTCGTGGGTTTAAGCAATTCTCCTGCCTCAGCCTCCTGAGTAGCTGGGACTAAAGGCTCTGCCACCATGCCCAGGTAATTTTTGTGTTTTTAGTAGAGACGGGGTTTCACTATGTTGACCAGGATGGTCTTGATCTCTTGACCTCGTCATCCACCCACCTCGGCCTCCCAAAGTGCTGGGATTACAGGTGTGAGCCACCGTGCCTGGCCGATACATAATATTTTACATATTTATAAGGTAATGTGATATTTTACTGGCATAGAATGTACAATTATCAAGTCAGGATATTTGAGGCATCCATCATTTGAGTATTTGTCATTTTTATGTCTTTGGAACAATTCAAGCCCTCTTCTTTGTACTTTGAAATACACAGCACATTGTTGTTAACTATAGTCACTCTGTTCTGCTGTCAAATGATAGAACTTATTCCTTCTATCTAACTGTGTGTTTGTATGCATTAACCAACCTCTCTTTATCTCCCCCTTCTACCCACACACCTTTCCCAGCCACTAGTATCCATCATTCTATTCTACTTTTATGAGATCAATCTTTTAGTTCCTGCAAAAGTGAGAACAAGTGGTATTTATCTTTTTGTGTCAGGGTTATTTCACTTAACATAATGACCTCCAGCTCCATCCATGTTGCTGTGAATGACGTGATTTCATTCTTGTAGTATCCATTGTGTATAGATACCACATATTCTTTATCTAGTTCATCTGTTGATGTACACTTAGGTTGATTTCCCATCTTTGCTATTGTAAACAGTGCTGTGATAAGCATGCAAGTACAGGTATCATTTTGATAAATGATTCCAAGATAATCAGTAGTGGGATTGCCAGATGATAAGGCAGTTCTATTTATAGTTTTTTGAGAAATCTTCATACTGTTACTAATTTACTGTTACATTTTTACCAACAGTGTAAGAGTTCCCTTTCTCCACATTCTCACTAGAATCTGTTATTTTTTGTCTGGTGAATAATGGCCATTCTAACCTGGGTAAGATGATATATCTTGTGGTCTTGATTTGCATTTCCCCAGTGAATAGCGATGTTGAGCATTTTTTCATATCCCTGTTGGCCATTTGTATGCCTTCTTTTGAGAACTGTCATTCATTTCAAAAGGCAGGGAGTATTTAATGAATTATTTAGATATAAAGAATCACAGAATCAAAGTAACATATATTGAATTATGATGTTATAATTGCATGATGTAATAATTATTAGCTTTATTAACTGATAGGTAGAAATGAAAATTCAAATATATGTGTTTGCTTTGGCAACACATATACTAACATTGGAACAATACAGAGAATATTAGCATGGCTCCAGAGCAAAGTGTTCCATATTTCTCAGAAAGACTCAAAAATATTAATAAAGTTAGCATTTGAGAATATATTGCAGGAAACAATTATGCATTAGCTGAAGACTGGACAAAATGATCTAACTGGCCTTCCTCTTCCTAACCTTCTGAATTCATCGACCACATTATATTTTAGGATGATTTATACTTCTACTGCATCTGACCGAGATGATTATAATTCAACACTTAATTTTCTTTTCTTCAACTGTTAATTCTTATTAATCAAGATGCAATGAAGTTAAGTGATAGAAGCTGAAAATGACTTACTGGAAAGAAAGTGTTGAGACGATGGGCCAAAGTCCCTGTGGGCTTCATGCAGCTGCCTGACTCGGTCCTCCACAGCCACCTGGGAAGAAAAGAAGAGAAATGATGTTCTCTCATTTTATATAATGAGGAACAATTAAAGCAATGTATCCTTTCTGATAAGATACTTTGAGTCTCTAAGGCTGAGAACACTAAAGAAACAATTCATAACCCTAGTTTTAATATCCACTTACCGTATATAGTATCCAAGACTCATTTTTATCAAACCGAGGCCAAACACGAAGGATTTCCTCTCTCGACAATGTTGAGATTTTTTTGTTTTTACAGTCAACTCATTGGCAGCTACAAATGAACTACTGCTTTAATTAGTACCATCAAAAAATACAAATTCTTCGCTTTCACAAAAATAGGGAGGATGCCATTTGGTATCACAGACTACAGAATCTCTGAAATGACATGTTTTGTCTTTAAGTCTTAGTCTATTGTTTTTGACTAATTTTAAAGAACTAATATTGATTAATGGTAAATAAATCACTGAGTGATATTTAATTATTGATAATTAATAATTAACCAATAGCTGATCAATATATAATTATGGCTGGGCACAGTGACTCATGCCTGTAATCCCAACACTTTGGGAGGCTGAGGGAGGCAGATCACTTGAGGTCAGAAGTTCAAGACCAGCCTGGCCAACATGGTGAAACCCTGTCTCTATTAGAAATACAAATATAAGTTGGGAGTGATGGCGCATGCCTGTAGTCCCAGCTCCTCAGGGAGGCTGAGATAGGAGGGGGGATGCAGTAAGCAGAGATTGTGCCATTGCCTCCAGCCTGGGCAACGGAGTGAAAATTCGTCTCAAAAAAAAAAAAAGAAATTAATTAAGTATTAATGAAGCAGAGGCAAAGCTTAAAGTTGGGATAAGAGGGTGGATAGTAAGATAAAAGTAATTTTCAGATTTCAGTTTTCAATGGACTTGGAAATGACTGAGAAATAATACCCTTAGGTGGCATGCAATGAAAATTGCCATTCTTTTTTTCCTATTAGGTTTCTCTATAATATATTGACACAGTGTGCTGTCAACTTAGCGAAGTCTATTTTTGGTGGGGAAAAAATGAATAATTTTATGGGTGAAATGCTATACTTACTCATTTGGCACTTTGCCAACCCAATATTTGTGGTGGCTCCAGGCATTCTAGTTCTAACTCTGGGTTTTGATTTGATTGTGAAGAGTCCATGCTAAACTGGGGGTTGATCAGAGCTTACACAGAGCAATCAGAACTCAGGTAGTAGTTCCTGCAGTGTGCAGAATACCCAAGAGTTTAAAATGATGTTAATCTCATCAGAAAAGTAGCAAGGCTGGTTCAACATATGCCAGTCTATAAACGTAATGCATCACATAAACAGAACCAAAGATAAAAACCACATGATTATCTCAAAAGATGCAAAGAAGGTATTTGACAAAATTCAGCAGCCCTTTATGCTAAAAACTCTCAATCAACTAGGCATTGATGGAATGTACACAAAATAATAAAATCTATTTATGACAAACCTACAGACAATATCATACTGAATGGGCAAAAACTGGAAGCATTCTCTTTGAAATCTGGCACTAGACAAGGATGTCCTCCTTACCACTCCTATTCAATATAGTATTAGAAGTTCTAGCCAGAGCAATCAGGCAAGAAAAAGAAATAAAGGGTATTCAACCAGAAAAAGAGGAAGCCACATTGTCTCTATTTGCAAATGACATGATTGTATATTTATAAGACCCCATTGCCTCAGCCCAAAATCTCCTGAAACTGATAAGGAACTTCAGCAAAGTCTCAGGATACAAAATCAATGTGCAGAAATCACAAGCATTTCTATACACCAAAAACAGACAAACAGAGCCAAATCAAAAGTGAACTCCCATTCACAATTGCTACAAAGAGAATAAAATACCTAGAAATACAACTAACAAAGGATGTAAAAGATCTCTTCAAGGAGAACTACAAACCACTGCTCAAGGAAATAAGAGAGGACACAAACAGATGGAAAAACATTGCATGCTCATGGTTAGAAAGAAAGAATATTGTGAAAATGACCATACTACCCAAAGTATTTTATAGATTCAAAGCCATCCCCATCAAGCTACCAATGACCTTCTTCACAGAACTGGAAAAAACCACCTTAAACATCATTTGGAACCAAAAAAGAGCCCACATAGCCAACACAATCCTAAGCAGAAAGAACAAAGCTGGAGGCATCATGCTACCTGACTTCAAACTATACTACAAGACCACAGTAATCAAAACAGCATAGTACTGGTACCAAAACAGAGACATAGACCAATGGAACAGAACAGAGGCCTTAGAAGCAACACCACACATCTACAGTCATCTGATCTTTGACCAACCTCACAACAACAAGCAATGGGGAAAGGATTCCCTGTTTAATAAATGCTGTTGGGAAAACTGGCTAGCAATGCGCAGAAAGCAGAAACTGGATCCCTTCCTGACACCTTACACTAAAATTAACTCCAGATGGATTAAAGATCTAAACGTAAGACCTAACACCATAAAAACCCTAGAGGAAAAACTAGACAAAACCATTTAGGACATAGTTATAGGCAAGGACTTCATGGCTAAAACACCAAAAGCATTGGCAACAAAAGCCAAGATAGACGAATGGGATCTAACTAAACTCCAGAGCTTCTGTACACAAAGGAAACAATCATTAGAGCAAACTGGCAATCAACAGAATGGGGAAAAATTTTTGCAATCTACCCATCTGACAAAGGGCTAATATCCAGAATCTACAAAGAACTAAAACAGATTTATAAGACACTAACAAACCAACCCATTCAAAAGTGGGCAAAGGATATGAACAGACCCTTTAGGAAAAGAAGACATCTATGAGGCCAACAAATGTTTGAGAAAATGCTCATCATCACTGGCCATTAGAGAAATGCAAATCAAAACCTCATTGAGATACCATTTCACGCCAGTTTGGATGACCATTATTGAAAAATCTGAAGACAACAGATGCTGGAGAGGATGTGGAGAAATAGGAACACTTTTACACTGTTGGAGGAAGTGCAAATTAGTTCAACCATTGTGAAAGACAGTGTGGCAATTCCTCAAGGACCTAGAAATAGAGATTCCATTTGACCCAGCAATCCCATTACTGGGCATATACCCAAAGGATTATAAATTGTTCTATTGTAAAGACACATGCACATGTATGTTCATTACAGCACTGTTTACAATAGCAAAGACCTGGAACCAACTCAAGTGTCCACGAACAATAGACTGGATAAAGGAAATGTGGCACATATACACCATGGAATACTATGCAGCCATAAAAAACAATGAGCTCGTGTCCTTCATAGGCACATGGGTGAATGTGGAAATCATCATTCTTAGCAAACTGACACAAGAACAGAAAATCAAACACCACATGATCTCACTCATAGGCAGGTGTTGAACAATTAGAAAATGTGGACACAGGGAGGAGAGCATCACACTGCAGCCAGTTGTGGGGGCTAGGGGAGGGACAGTGAGGGTTGGGGAGGGTGGAGGGGATAACGTGGGGAGAAATACCAGATATGGGTGATGGGGGGATGGAGGCAGTGAACCACCTTGCCATGTGCGTACCTAAGCAACAATCCTGCATGATCTGCACATGTACCCCAGAACCTAAGTACAATTAAAAAAAAAGTGGCTCAGGTAGTCTGACCTCAAACCAGCTCTGGCCTTCCAATACTAATTAAGTGCCTAGTGTATATCCAGAACAATCCCATTTTTTTACTCTTCCCCTAGCCTTGCCAATTTTTGCTTCACCCAAATATGTGAATAACCAAATGGGGTTCCCCCAAAACACAGGATTTGCTTTACTTCATAGACACAAAAGCATGAGGGACAGATCAAACCTATATTCCCAACCTTATGACCCTGGGCTCCCAAACTCTTAACTGCTAAGCCTATCAAACTACCTGCCTGTCCTGCAGTACTCCAACCAATATAATTTTTGTGTGTGGTTTCTTCATGCTCCTCCTTCTCTCAGCAATTCTCTTACCCTGCTTCTCTCCGAGATCAATGCTGTTAGTGTTTAATGCTTACTTCCCCATCTCCCCTGTTAGAATTAATGGTTTCCTCAGCATTCTAACAGTATATGGATCATACTTGAAGCACTTCTATCATATAATTCATTTTAGTTATATGGACATGAGTGTCTCTTGCAATAGATTGTAAACTTCTTGATAGCAGGGACCATTTTTTGTTTATCATTCTCTTCAAATGTCTCCAACCCTTTCTGCAGGAGGTACTGAACCCTGCACACAGTAAATGGTAGCAAATATTTGTTTAATGACTAATTGACCAAACAAATGGATAAGTGAGTAAATGTGGTGTGTGTGTGTGTGTGTGTGTGTGTGTGTGTGTATACAAGTGAGAAAGAGAGAGAGAGACGGGGAACAAACAAGAATACCTACTGACACTGATTGCACTGACTGCAGGTCTGTGATGGTTGATTTTGTGTGTCAAGTTGACTGGACTATGCAGTTCCCAGGTAAAACACTATTTCTGGGAGTATCTGTGAGGGTGTCTTATAGACAAGATTAGCATTTGGATTAGCGGATTCAGTAGATTGCCCTCCCCAATATGGGTGGGCATCATCCTATCAGTTGAGGTCCTAAAGAGAACAAAGAGCCATGTTTCTTTTTTCCTTACAGGCCTGCTTGAGCTTGGATGTCAGTCGGTCTTCTTTTGCCCTTGGACTGGAATTTACATCATCAACTCCCCTGGTTCTCAGGCCTTCAGACTCTGACTAAAATTATACCACCAATTTTCCTGCTTCTCTAGCTTGCAGATAGCAGGTCATGGGACTTCTTAGTCTCCAATTGTATGAGATAATACTTGGTTTTATATATATATATACACACACATATACATACACACATATATAAATATACATATACATATGTATGTGTGTATATACACACATACATATGTATATTGTTGGCTCTATTTCTCTCTTTTTTTTTGAGACAGAGTTTTGCTCTCGTTACCCAGGCTGGAGTGCAATGGTGGGATCTCAGCTAAC